GAACTAGTCTTGTAAGACAATGTCCCCAGGGGCTCTTCCACCCTAACTTGAAATCAACTCAGCCCCTGGGTCTCCGAGGATGGAAAAATACAGGCCAGAATGTTTTCCACATGAAATGTCTAGACTTCTCATTGGTGGTTACTTATGGGAGGTTTCAATTTTCAATCCAAACCCAAGTGGTTTCAGGATTTTTATCCGTGTGCACAAAGATAACCCAAAATGCTTTGTAATAATGAAGAAGTAATGGTCAGTCTTTTCTAAAATAGATTCTCAAGACTTTTCAGGATATTAATGGAATACACATTGAAAAGGATGAACAAAGATGTACTTACAATGTTGTTTGGTATGCATTTGAAAACCTATCATATTCATATAAAAACGATCTGTTGGTAAGAAAACAGGGTGATCATAAGGCATTGGAAATTGGAAAATTATCCTTCCTCCAGGCAGAATCCACTGTCTAAAATCTCATCTTGAGTAGTTTTTTCGCAAGTAGTGAAAATTATTCTTTCACTTATATCTTTAATACAACATAAAATCTTCTCTAAGAAAACAACAGACTTCCCTAACAGTGAATAAAGGCTGACAGTTTCTAAAGAAACTGTTTGGGGCTGCGTCGGTGGGGGTAACAAAATAATTTGGATGTATCAACAAAGTTGAAATGGTAAATTGGCCACTGTAACGATTATAAAAGCTGATGCTTTGAGCGTTAGCCCTTCGTCGGAGCGAAGGGCTAATGCTCGAAACGTCAGATTTTGTAATTGTTATGGTGGCCAATTTACCATTTCAACTTTGTTGATATATCCAAATTATTCCCTAACAGTGACTTGGTTGGTAGCATGTAAACTCCAGAGAGTGGATTGTAGCATGTTTTGGTAAAAGTATTTTTAATATCAACCACAATATCAATGTGAACAAATAACAAGACTGGCTGAAAAGTATTTGTATCAAACACAATTATCAAGAGTACATTTTACCTAAAAAGTATTGTACTGATGGATGAAATGCATCATCACCCTCCTTCTCTCTTAATTCCATAATTCCCTACATTATGATAAAAATTTAACAATTACATATTTGTGATTCAAGGACAACTTTACAATTAGTATTACAGAACGTGGTAGCCAAAAAAAAGAACTGTGAACAAAAGAGTCTAAGTTATGAGTTATTAGGGTGAATACCTGAGCCATGGTCTCAACAACATACTTATGGCGCTGTTTGATGTCCATCAAACACTGGGTATATCTAAAACACAAACATTAGAAGGTAATCAATCAATTTTTTTTCTATGACCCAGAATTTATCAAAGTAACAGCATTTGTATTTGTTTCATTGATGTCAAACTCTACCTTTACCTCAATCACCTACTAATGAATAGTTGAAAATGCTACCTCTTGAAAACTTCATCTGTTTCTTGTGCATCTTGGAACTCAGTTACCTCACTAAAGCTTTGAACATACCTTAAACAGGAAGAAAACAAACCTTATATTAAATCAAAGGAGCAGAAATGAGTATTGCAAATTTCATTCAAGAGTAAACTCCTGCCAATCTTGGCAAAGAAATTTGGGAGAAGAGACAATTAAATCAATGCATTTCATTAGCTTGCTTTATGGAGAAATGTTGCTAAGCAACAACCTCACAATAACCACAGCAAAATGAAACATTTGTCTCTGGTATAAATTCCCTATCTTTTCCACTTACCATCCTCTGACAAGTTCAACTGAACTGATTTTAAGTAAATTCTCAGGAAGGAGATCAATCTCACTTATAGCGTGTGCAAGTCGTACACGTAATTCATTGCGACCAAACTTGAAAGATTCTATAGGCTTTGCAGTCTTACCTGGAAAAAGAGAGGACCTGTGTTAAAGGTTTACTCTCTACCTTGGATATATCAAAATTGACAAATATTAAGTTTTTTCGATTTTACTTCCAAAAGGAAACTTCTCAGACCCATGCTAAACCTTAATGCACATAATACTCACTGTGATAATGGCAAATCACATGACCCAAGGGATGACAAGGTTTTAACCATTTACACCCTAACATCAGAATGCATATTCTCCAAAATATTCTCCACACATTGCCCAAGGTGCTGACAAAGAGAATTTGTTTAACAATTAAGGGCTTCTTTACATGGTGATCATTCCCTCAATTCTCATAGCCTTAATGTTTGATTCAAGGGTGATATTGTAAGGAAAAATTTGATTCTAGTCACTCTGACATAAAAGGGTTGAATCAACCTTTTCTAAACAAAGTAAATGTACATAACTAAAACATCTTATTTCTAACAGTAAAAAAATATGGTTAGGTTTCTCCCCAAAAATTATAGGAATCATGACAAAGCAAGGCAAGAGTTCCATATAACCCCATACATTAATTATGCATAGAGTGTGGCAAAGAACCTTTATATTTAGTCTTTATGAAATGAAATGCATAATTAATGTATGGGGTTATATGGAACTCTTTCCCAAAGCAAAATGTAAGAAATAAATGAGTAGATGCGATATAGCAGGAATTTGGTTACATATTTTAACAGGCAGAAATGTGGACATCATGGGTGGGTTTAAAATAAGGCACTATTAAGCAGGACAAGGCTCTCGATGCTGTGTCTCGATTCTGTCGTGGACCTGATGGAGGTTTTCTTAACAGAATGAGCCGGTTCTCAGAACTTGATGTGTTACTTTCGGCCAGTTTAAATAATTTCCTCATTCCAGTGACCTCAGAATCACTTTTCTTTGCTCTCTCTCGACCTGTTCCACTAAGAGTTCACAATCAGGCATTTATTGTTGTACATACATGAAGTATAAATACCTCTGACTCAAGACGTATGCCTAGGAAACGGAACTCGTGATGACTCCTGATGACACTGGTGACTGGTTTGAGATTGTTCTACCTCAACAACTAGAAATGTTTATGTTCATACCAGTCGAAGTAAAAGAGAAAGGAAGGTGTAAGTAGCTAAAAAAATTGCTTTAAGTACTCTGGAAATGTTTAGGAGAGAGAAAAAATACTTTTAAGGTGGTTACTTGCTTTTACAGGTGGAAAAATCATGCTCACAGCCGGATAATTTCTCCGGCTCCCACTATTACATCCTGATTTTGTAAAAAGAAAAGAAGATATTGTTTGACTTAGGAATTATTGACAAGAATTAGCTTTGTAGGAATAGAGCGTCACTGAGACAGGTCATTTTAATTCAATTTTTTAATAATGTTAGCTTAAAAGATGCATAGACAGGAAAATCAAGCCATTACTTTTGGTACAGGTGGGTAACATCTGTGCCAAAATCTGACATTTTCTTCACCAAAGTAAAACACTGACAAACGTACACTTTGGGTGAAGTCGCAAAATGATGGCACCACAAATGAGTACTGGTAGATATTCAAAGTATGGAAACCATATTAAAGGCAGTTTATGCAGATTTTGAACTTTTCAATTTTTCAGAGGAAGCAAAGCCCAATATAACTATTTGATATAGTCTTTCATATATGTAAAAAAAAGGTTCATCAAAAAGGTCTTTTATGAAAAATAAAAATGAAGGGTGAAATTTTGTAACTGTCGCGAGATTCTAAATCTTATGGTCAGTGGCTCTTAAAAGGGAAAGGGGCTTTCTTGAGTGGCTGTCTGCCACAAAATATGTCAACAAAGCAGATGTTTGAATCTTGAGGACAAACTTGATACTTCTCTTTCTGATTATTGTAACAAAAAATTATTCTGAAGATTTCAACTAATGGGGAATAATATGTATGAATCTTTCTCTATCATCATGTCTACCATGTTCCTTGTGATATAAATGATCTTCCAAATCTCAACCTTTTCATGACATCTAGTCATGCTATTTCCAGATTACTTACAAAATTTTTGAAATAGTCAGAGACATGTAACTCAGTTACATGTGAGCACTGCATAAATCAGTATTAATAATATTTCTCTTTACTTAACAAAATTTGACACAGCTTTAATATATTTTTTCATTGTCTATGAAAGTTCTAAATTTACTTAATTGAAAAAGTATTTAATGCCCTCTTACAATGTTTGACCCAATGACACTTGGATCAAAAAAGCCCACCTTTTCCCTTTTTTTCACAGAGATTACTCAGTTCCTTTTTGTACTTTTCATTTGATCCAGAACTGGGTTGACTCAGGGGAGGTTTTGGCAGTGGAAAATTGTTCTATTCAGCTCATCCAAACATGATTTTCCTAGGTCTATAATTTGTTGTTTGCTAATCTGTAGATCAGCAGATCACCAAACCTCCAGAACCTGTCAAACCACAATTCTGTTTGAAATATTAATTTCAGGTATAAAGAAGATCATGTCAACAGAGAAATAGCTAGTGTCCCTGACGTTCAACCACAGGCAACCCAAGCTCACACAAATAATGAGTTTAATTATAATCATAGTGTTAACATTGCGCAGTGAGTGAAATACAATGAACTTTATCACAATGAACGATTGCACTCTCAAACTACAAGAATCTGAACAATTTTTGAATAAATTAGAGGGTCATGTACGATGAGATCAATTTAATGGCGGCCAATTCCAGCGAATAGGTTTGCTGAGAGCCTTCGGATAAGGCGTTACTCCGATGAAGAACTCGGCCAATATCCAGCCTTGGTCAATAATGCATATTTACAATTTTCCCCTCACACTTGGTTAGGTTTTACTTTTGCTTTCGATTACGCTTCCGCGTAGGAAATTCAGGTTGCATAATACATTCCATATCTCCATTTTCTCAATTCTCAGAACAACTGTGATTCGTTAAGGTACGCATACTTTTCACGGAGGCAAATATAATAATAAAGAAAAGATCTATTCTTGATCTCACAGCCAACGCTTTAGGAGAGTAGGAATATTTGTTCATCCTGGGGTGGCACGTTCTTCGACCATCCACCAAATCAAAAGAATCCCTTGTTGTTTTGACCTAATTCCTCCACGATGTAAGGCTTCTACGGTGAGCACGTCTTTATTCCCAAAGAGATCTATTCCCCTATTAAAACACGACCCTAGCTACTGCAGCAAGTACGGAAAATCTACTGCACTCACCGAACGACGTGAATTTCTCAATCGACAACGAAGATTGTCGATAGCGACTGAAGCGTTGAATGAGGTTGGAGACATTCTTAAACAACACTTGCGTGATCCGCATGATGAAATTTATGATTATGCTATTTCCATCTCCAGCAAAAGCTTTTTCTCAAGGAACCTTAATGGTTATTCGAGAGATGATCAAGGAAAATTTTTGTTGTGTGCAACTATTTAGAGCACGAAGTGAGCTGAGGCTGAGGCGACAGGCAATAAATTTGCAAAATAAAATTTCTTTGACCAATCAGAAAGGTATAATTGTTCACGGCAGGACGACACGTGGGTTTTCACGTGACATCCTCAAATTCGAAAATTCAAAAATATAGAACCGCGAAAATTTTTATCCTCATGAGGCATTAGGGGGTCTAAATTCGTACATATATACACAGTTTTCAGTTCGATAGCGTGCTTAATTTGGAAACCAGCGCAGTTTGAAGCTCGGAGTTGTGGTGGTTGCGTAACGAACAGCTCCGATCGCGTTTGTCGAAAAATATAGACCTATCTGCTGATTTTTAGCCTTTTTATGAAATCATTTGTTAGAAAAAGTGTTTTGTACATGTTTTTTGGTTTATTTTAGATAGTCAGTGGGCTAGGTAGCCAAAGTAAGTTCCAGATGTCGTGCTCTATTTCCGGCCGCCATGTTGGCGGACCAAAGATATCCACCAATACGGCGGCTCCATACTGGGCTATGTAAATTTGCGCAAAACATTTCGACAAATTTCTTAAGTTTAGGAAAACTGCGAAACCTAAAACTTGGAGAAGTTCTTGCTTCAGTCCAAACTTTTTACCCAACAAAAATGACTATTCAACTTCTACCATGCATATTTATTTAATGACATACCTTCTATTATGACTAAGTGTTTGAAAGTTCCCAGACATTCAAAATAACGTCATTCAACAAAATTCCCGCCCCTACCCCCGAACAACGCCCAAACATGAAACCCACTCCCTTCCAATACGAAGATTATGGACTGGAACCCAAATATCAAAAATCAAAATGGCAGCCATAACACTGGATGAAGATCCATTCTTGAATTGCTTTGAGGATGTTATAAGCTTGTTAAATGTTTGTGAGGAGGGACAAAACAGTATTTCCTGACATTCTATTCGGGCATTGCTGTTAATATTTAACAATTATTCGCCGAAGGCGAGGTGAACATCGTCGACTAATCCCCAAGACGAAGTCGAGGGGATTATTCGACAATATTCACTGAACCTGAGGCGAATAGTTGTTTAAGTATAATTTCAGAGCTGAAAAACAGATAAATGTCTAAAATCATAACATTTTATCTTAACATTTTATATGAACCGCACGGAGCAGTTTATATAGCGTCATATAAGGAACCGCTCGACCAATCAGATTGCTGGAAACTCTTTGCTCAGCTCTGAAATTATACTAAATTATTTATTTCAGATGTCCACGAAAGGGAAAATAATCCAATCAATGGTCACGTATGAGGTCATTACAAAACGTAAAATGGCTTTGGATCAGTTGAGAAAAGGATTGATTACCCTTGGTGTTCTTGATGAGATGTCAAAGCACCCAC